GAAAGCATAAGAAAATCAAAGATTTCACAGTTTTATTGAATTATATTAAGATTTTTGTCCTGTTTTTGTTTCGTTAAATACACGTTTACTACTTCAGGCCTCTACAAACCATCACTATGACATGTTTGTATTAAGAGGTTTTAAGCAGATATGAATCGTTTGAAGGGATCATAATCCACACACTGCAACACCGTCCCTCCTGCACTACAACAACAAGTGCAAATATTAAACATTTATGCACCTCTGTAGGTTTATACGTCTGCAGAAGTAAAGAGCTCAGACTAATGTTTTGCAAATATGTACAAGAAGGAAGAAGTTTACATACACTCTTCATGAGTCACATGGCCATTCTGGGCTTTTAATTATTCGTGGGGCTGTTGAATGATTGTACTATACACATGTTTGACGACTTTAGAAAACTAAAACTGGGTGCAAAAGTTCAAATTTATTTTGGATTTTCTCTAAGCCACACAGGGTCAAATCTATAAACACACACACTAGTATTTGGTTGTTGCTTTGCAAGTTGTACTTCAACCAGATGCTTTTCATAGCCATCAACAAGCTTTGGGTATAATTCTGTATATTTTATTAATGATTCTTCCCAGAGGAGTGGAGTTCATTTAAATTGGTTGGTTTCCTTGCACAGCACCGGCTTTTAGTCATAGTCCACAAATTTTTAGGACTGAGGTCAGGACTTTGAGAAGAACTAAGATTAATGTTAGCCTGCTCTATCAATTTCAAAGCGAAGATTGATAAACTTGAGGTGTGTTTGGGATTATTGTCCCGCTGAAACACCCGACTGTGTCCAAGTTCCGATTTGAGGTTAACTTGAAGAATTTAGAGGTAATAATCCTCCTTCTTCATTATTGCATCCACCTTGTGCTGTATACAGAACCACTGGCAGCAAATCAGCCCAAGACCATGATGCTACCACCACCAAAACATACATCATCGGCTTGTCCATGTGAGCAACTGTTAAATTTCATTTGACCTTAAAAGTGTCAACTTTGGACCAGGGGATAGAACTCACTTTACCTTGGACAGTGACACTGGTGTTCCAGGATTTTCCAGTCCATTTCAGGCTTGAGCCTTGGTGGTTCCTGGGCTGTTCTGGAATATCCTAACCAATTTCATCCTAACAAATCTGACATTCTGGTTCTTCTTCCAATGGTGACACATCTGTACAATTGTTTAAACTGACAATTATGGAATCTGCAGTTGCTTAGAAATGGCTCCAAGAGACCTTCCCAACTTGCTTATCCATCCATTCTCTTCCTTCCTTCCTTTTAACCAATTTGGGGAACCAGGAGGGCTGAAACCTATCCCAGTTACCATAGGATAGAGGCAGGGTACACCCTGGACAGGTTGCCAGTCTGTCGCAGGGCTAACACAGAGAGACAGACAACCATTGACACTCACATTCACACCTACGCGCAATTTAGACTCATCAGTTAACCTAAACCCACTAACTGGACTGTGGGAGGAAGCCGGAGTAACCAGAGAGAATCCAAGCAGACTTGGGGAGAACATGCAAACTCTACACAGAAAAATGGTTGATTCAAACCCAAGACCTTCTTGCTACAAGACAGCAGTCCTAACTATCTCACCAACAGCTGCCACTCCAACTTATGTAAATCTACAAGTCTCTTCAGTGAGTTCCTTGAATTTTCCAATTGTTCTGAGTATTCTGAGTCAGTCCAATGAGTGCTGTCAAACAAATCCTTTTTATGCTGCAAAGATAAACTCCCTGCTGCACCCAATCATAATCCCTAATGAGGAGTTAATGGGCCTTAGCTTTGTTAAGACGTTGTAGAACCTACAGCACCACCTATTCAAATATTAAAATGACTGTTCTTCAGAGTAATTAAAAATGGATTCCGTACAATCGTTCCACCCTTAAAACAAAACAGCTCAAAGAAACCATTAAAAGCCCAAAACTAGCATCACAGTCATGCCCTTGATGAGCAGATGTAAACTTCTCACCACAGCTGTATGTGGCTGCAGAGCATCAATCTGACAGGCCACGCCACTAAAATGCTCCTTATCTACTAAAAAGATAAGGAGCACAGGAGAGGAGATGGATTACAGACAAATGCACCAGTGTTGAGACACCAAACACTTACTGGAAAGATATGGTTTGTTTGTTTTTTCATATTTGGCCATTTTACCTTCGGCCATCCTGGAATGAGTCTGCTGCAAAGATCAGAAAAGCTGCAGTGAGCCAGGACGTGACATAAATAATGACGCAGGAAGAACAGCTGAGGATAAAAATAAGTGATTTTCTCTGTAATATCTTCACACACACATAAAGACTGCTTCATGTGACATCACAGTGACGTGTATGTGAGTCATTGTGCCACGCTGGCTGGAGCACCAGGGGATATCCGCCCCTCCGGCTGCTGGGGAGGGCAGATTACTGGCTCACATGCTCAGAGTACTTCGGGGGTCACATGTCTCATCTGCTGGATTCAGTTTGCCACAAATGAATGGGATACTGTAGAGCAGAGGCATGTTTTAAAGAATTCCCCGCCAGTGGTCAAGGCATTAATGGATCTTTAGATCAGTAATGTAAGAGAGAGCGGCCAGTAAAAGCAGTTAAATGAGCTACTGTAAGTAGAAATAAAACGAAGGGCTATTACAGAGAGTAGAGACACAGGAAATGATTCAGCGGGAAGAAGATGACGACAGCTGCTACTTGAAAACCCATGGTTTCAGTCGGAGACTGCAATGACTTGGCATTTCAGCCAGTAAAGATATAGTTTATGCTTTCAGCTGTGGGTTTGAGTGGTCACTTCATGAAAGACAAAGCACAAATCCTGTGGGAAAAATCTGGTTTAAACCACAAGTTTCCACTCTGCATCCCATGTGACCAATCCTCCTGTTTCAGAGCTGAGTTTATGACACTCAAATCATGTAACTGGTCACAGGAAAGCCTTTATAATACCAAATGATGTACTAGGGGTGCAATTTTACAGCGGGCAGAACAGCTGAAACAACCAATCAACTAAATGGCTGGTGATTCATCTGCAACAATGGCAGTTTAAGTCAATGTATTATGTAAATGTGTAAAGAAAAGCCTTCAAAATGTATTATTTCAAAACTAGCAACACTGAGTATCTGAGCTCGGAATCCAAGAAGGTCATGTTCCAGATTTCTGAACATTTTTAACTCCATAGACGTCAAAAATAAGAAAGTAAATCATTAATGAAAGTTCTACACAGCATGACTGTTAAAAATCTGTTATTTTCATTATCAGTTAGCCTGCTCTTAGCTGCTGAGTCATGTATGTTATCCATGTGGATTCAGAGGCAGACCCAGCTGCTGTGGTACCACTGCTGGCCACACCGGCTGCAGGTCACAAAGGTCATTGCATCCTCGTCTGGGCCGCCCTGCCTCACCCACGCAGGCAAGAACAGAACCCCTCTGGACACCTGCGTCACCCTACAGTCGGACCCCCCGCATCTTTTGCAGCGAATCTTCTCCGTCCGCGTCCCCTCTATCCCTTGAGGAAGCTGCCTCTCACTCACGCCCTGGGAGGAGTACTCTTCCCTCAGCTGCCGCAGCTCTGCGCTGGCCATATCCTCCGCAGACATGCGGGCGAAGGTCTCGGGGGACAGGGAGCCGCTCAGGAGGCCCTGATGCAGGTGGCCGCTTTTGGGATTCCTCAAGTTGGCCACCTTGCTCCTCACACAGGCTTTATATTTGACCTGGTTGTGTTTATGAAGTTCGTGGACGTGCCGCTCGATGTCTCGTGCCAACTCAGCAGCCTTGTGCTGATCGGGGGCAGAGGGGCAGAGGGCAGCAAGGAGGAGCTGCACGCATTTGGTCCTCACGTTATCTGGAGATGAAGCAGAAGTATGAGCTTTGGGTCCAGGTTTAGCCTGCATAGATGACTGTTCTCCTGCAGCATTCCCCTCTCCACCATCACATGTTTGGGCAACAACCGCACCACCCACGGCCTCTTTTGGTAAAGAAACACCGGCAGGGAGCTCAGGATCCTCACTCTCCTCTGTGCACTTCACCCCTTGCCTGTCCTTCGTGTACTGTCTCTTCCACTTGGACAGCAAGCTCTTGACTGTCTTCTTCACGCTGTCATCATTGCAGGTTCTCAGGAGCCTGTAGAGCACTTTGACGATGTCCGTTGTTTCCAGCTGTTCCGCTGTGACGTGAGACTTCTGGAGGTCACCAAGGAGGGTCATGATGTTCCCATAGCTTCTGTCTGCACTGAATTTCTCTATCTGAAGAGCACAGCGGAGCATCTCCTTTGGATCCATCGTGGCTGCAAAGACACAAAAGCAAAGATGAAACAATGAATGTTTTTTTTCTTAATGTGGTGATGTTTGCCCCTCACTGTAAAATGAAGCAGTGCTCTCCTGAAAGCACAGCAGTATGTACCACTTAGAAACACATTAAAATAGACTTTTGCACGTGTTTACCTGAGTTCCTTCATGGTTTGCAGTTTCTTCCTGCTAACAGTGAACCTAGCAAACGTCTACACGGGAGCAGCCATGTTGAATGTGTCTTCACGGGAGAAAAATGCCAGCATTCACCTCTAGATGGAGCTGTAGCCTCACAAAGGGAGGGTAGTGCAGGTAGTTTCCCATCAGTTTCTTAAAATGGAACTATATGTATATATATATATATATATATGTATGTATGCAATCTTTTTTCCCTAAAAACAGGGATTGATGCAATATTATAAATGAAACCTCTTTGCAATGAAAGTGACCCTGAATCCCCGAATCATTGAGTACACTGCGGCCTGTTTAATCTGAAAGTATCCCAGCAGAGCCTTCCAGCTGTGCTGTCAGTCTGTGATTTATCTAAAATGTACTGTGGGATTAGTGCTTTATGTGAGGATTTAGGTGTGTGCTTTTGGATTTTGCAGGTTACTCCCACGGCCAAACTTCTGTCTATTTTAACACCTCTTTCCTGTTTTTCCCACAATAACGAATGTGGATGAACCTGCGCTAAACCACACGAGGAGCTGAGGGTGTTGTCCAGACAAAGTGTTCGATTTCAAATGTGTGTTGCATTAATGGCTATTATTATAGCCTTGTGTTCCTTCTTTTCAGCCCCTGAGATCGAGATGAAAGATATTTGGTTCGGCGTGCAGAAACGTGTAATCCTCGCATCCAAGCAGCCAAATGACCTGCAGACAGGAATTTAGTGGAACACATCTCGTGACAAGATGAGGCAAGTCTTTCAGCTGTGCTGCAATTACATGTTGTGATGGAAGAAGATGATTGAGTGTTTAGGATAATTCATGGTTGTGGAGCTAAGACCAGAAACGTTCCAGCGGACGTATCCGTTCGCACGTAGTTGTTAGTATTTCGTGGAAACCTGGAACATGGTTTGATGTAATCACACCATCGACGGTGACGTGAATGAGAGAAAAATGCAGGCTTAATTGCATGGCTGAAAGGTTGATTATGTATTAATTGGATGTTGTCTGAATGGGAGCATATCTGAATATTGACAAAACAATTCAATAATACCTTTAGGGATTTATGGAGTGTACGGAAATTGCTGAAGTGATGAGGGAGTGATGAGGGAGTCTGTTTGTTTTTTAGTTTGCCTATTTTGCTGCTTTATTCCCTTTTTCCCAACAGCACGGCATATTCATCATCATTTTTTGTTTCCAAACATGCAGCACTGACTCACTCGAACACACTCATACTAACTACTAAAATAATATAACAAAAAGGAGTTAGTGCTTTTCATGGTGAGCAAAGAAGACCAAATGTAAACTCACCGCTAGGACTGGTTTGGACCCTCTTTTGGCTTCAGAACAGCCTCAGTTCTGTGTTGCACAGATTCAACAAGCTGGTGGAAACATTCCTTAGAGTTTTTGATCCATATCGACATGATAGCATCATCCATTTGTTGGCTGCACATGGCTCCGTGATGTGAATCTTCTGTCTAACCACATCTCGTTGGTGCTGCATTGCGCTGGGATCTCATGACTGTGAAGGATATTTGTAACACAGTGTTTAATCCTGGAAGCAGCCAGCAGGCGATGGTACACTGTGGTCATGACAGCATGAACATGGTCAGCAGCAACACTCAAGTAGACTGTGGTGTTTCAATAAGGCTCAGTTGGTACTCAAGGGTCGAAAGGCATGCCAGGAAAATATCCCCTACACCGTTACACCAACACCAGCAGCCTGAACTGAGGCTGGATGTTGTTTATGCTAAATTCTAAACGCTGGAGCAGAAACGTTTGGTGAACTTGTGAAAATCTTAGACTCAGTTTTCTGTTAGCTGGCAGGAGTGGCGCCGGGTGTGGTCTGCTGCTGCTGTAGCCTTTTTTTACCTTTACATTCAGAGATGCTGAGATGGTTGTAATGAGTGATTATTTTAGTTACTGTTGCCTTTCGATCAGGTCAAAGCAGTCTGCTCATTCTGACCTCAGCCATCAGCAAGGATCTGAATGCACAACACATCAAACCTTGAAGTAACAGAAGACCACACCCAGGGTCGCCGAGGCTACGATTTACAAACGCTCACCAAAAATTGGACATTAGAAGATTGAAAAAACGTTGACTGATTTGTCTCAATTTCTAACGCAACATTCAGATAGTAGTACACATTTGGAGTAAATAACATGAAAGCATTGATCATGCAGGCCTGTATCACCAGTTGGTGGTGTAATGGTGTGGGGGATATTGCAGAGACGATTATAGCGACTTATCTTGCAACATAAGGCTAAAGGTAAGCACAAAAATAAACGATGTCAAGAGGCGTTCCTATACACAAGAAACAAATCATAAAACCCTCTACATTATCAAAATCTTAATTATAAGGACAAATGTTTTTGTACAGTCCTTTATAAGTTACTTGAGAATATATGTATTTTTCTGCCCATGTAGGAAGTATTATTTTCACATCTGAGGTTCTGGTTTCAACAAATTTGGCGATAGCTGCAGTGGCAGAAGTTGTAAAGCCTTCCACGACTCCTCTGACTGTGAATTGCATTCATGAATTAGAGATAAACAGAAACCACGAGCTGCCTTTATATCAAAATGAGCTTTTTATTCACTGAAGCACTTTTAATAGTCCTGCCAAACCATATATGTTATTATTCACACAAAAGCCCAGATGAAATGTAATTAGACGAGCAGGGCGCCATTATGCAACTGCTGGTGTGACATCACCCTCCTGATCTTACATTAAAATGTGCTTTCAAGATTCACGCAGCCGGGGCCGATAGCAGTGCAGGCCTCAAGGGAAAATTGATTTGGCGTCTCTTCGCATAAAAGCTTCTGGTTCTCAAGTTCAAAGAGCTGCTTTTAAAACCCCAAATGGAAGTTAAAGCTTCCAGGAGGCTTTTAGCAGCGTTAATGTTTAACTTTTCTTCTCTGGCTTGAGGAGTTTTCTTTGAGCGTGTGAGGAAATGTGCCGTGTGGGATATTCGAGGTTCTGTGAGCGAGCTTTCTTTTGTTAAGTGCATTTTGTGAACTAAAACTCCAACCTTTTACACAAGCAGAAGGATCCTGAGTGTTGACCCCCTCCGAGGTTTGGATTGAGATGGGTGGGGTCCGGCTGAGCCATCAGTGGACACGTGTAAAACTCCTCTTTCTGTGGTTAAATACATTAAACCTGCTAAATTTTGAACCCTCAAACACATGCGACTGATTTCCATCACAAGAGTCACAAGACTCCTTGCATCTTATCAAGTCATATCAGTGCGGCCTGCTTGCACTTGTGCACTTTCTTATCAGTGGGAATGGAATTTTACCAGCACGCAGCTGCTGTGACAGCCGAGCGCCGAGAGGTGGCGCTCTCTGCACTGCGCTGGTTTGAGCCCTATGAGGAAGTGGAGTCCTGCTGTATCACATCCTGCTCTTGTTGTCCCCGCCTTCTAGATGGCGTGTACGCATGAGCGCACACACATACGCGCACACACACTACCCCGCCCTGAGCTTGAGAAATTCTGAGGAGGAGCAAGGCCTTCTTGTTAGAGTGATCAGCTTTTTCATGGTCAGACATTCATGACAACATGGTAAGTCCCTGCACCCGCAACCACGACCTGCAAATACTCCCAACGCTGCCAAGTGCATGTGTGACAGACAGCAAAGTGAAAAAGTGTTAAAAGCAATCGTGAGTCACATGCTGCTGAGTGAGTGTCAGTGCAATGATAAACCTTGTTCTTCACAGGGTGAGAGGAGGTTAGAAAACAGGAAGAGCTACGCATATTTGCTTTTTCTTGGCAGAAGTCTGATCGGACTTTTCGGTGGAGGAAGAGGAAATGTTTTTTTGTTTTCTTCCCATTTTTGACATTCCAAAGGAAAAAAATGTGAACTTTACCGCAAACAGCAGCATATTTATTGTTACCTATTTGTTTAAAGTGAAACGGGTTTTATCATGTAATGCTCTATAATTAGAGTGCTTTGCCTTTCAGATGTTATTAAATATGATGAAAATGATGTGTTTTATTTATTTATGTGATCTCTCTGTAAAAGCACATGCGACAGAGACTGTGGGGTTTTATGCTGTGAGAGCAAAGTCAACTCTTATTTTGTATCCATGCTTAATGCTCTTGACAGGTTGTGTGTGTGTGTGTGTGTGTGTTGAGAGGGACTCTGGCAGTACCCTACCCATCATACCCTTCCCATCCGTCATTACCTTGAGGGTAATCACTGATGACTGGACTGGATTCTGTTTGTTTTGCCTCAGGGTTCATTCTGTTTTGTCTGAAGCACTGCAAAGATTTTTCTTCTGTTTGTGTGTGTGTGGGAGGGGCAGGAGTAAGGGGGGGGGGGTTAATAAATGTTATAAAGAGGCAAAGTACAGACAAAGTGTTGTTTTTTTTAGCTTGTGCTTATTTGGAGTCCTGCAAACCCCGAAGCAGGAAATGAGCCTCCCCAAACATGAAACCGCTAAGAGCACAGTTGCTGTCTTCTCTTGCTGATCATGAAAATTTTCCCATTTGATTAAGAAAAAAACCCTCTGTTTTATCAGAAGCGATGAGGAAGTGCAGACGATTGTGACTTGTTTGTGCTTTGCTCAACAGCAGAGTCAAAGCAGAATCACGAGACTCACTCGAACCCTTTTCTTGATTATGGTGAAACAATGCTGTGCAAGGTACTTTTTTAAGCAACTCAATTTCATAGCGTCTCTTGGGATGTGACGCAGCACTTGATAGCAGTTCAAAGCAGACTTGGGGGCTCAAACTGTGCACTCTGAAATAGTTTCATTAAATTGTTTCCTTTTGTATAGCTGCCTCTGTTAACCCTTTGTACCAAAGAGAAAATTTTAGCATTGATTTTGCTATTCTGATCCTCTGAGGGTTCAACCATATGTTTCCTCCCCTGTACAAATAATTATCCACATTGATTCATCACATTTGTTTTCCCATGAACGCCCCCTTCCTCTCTCTCCCACACACACACACCAACTGGGCGCATGCTCTGGGAAATCCACCAGCCGGTGGGCCCGGGTTACAAATAACCACATCCTCCCCACGTTGCTCACAGTTGTGCAGCATCCACTGGACTTTTGTAATGTGATCAC